CGGTGCGAGGCTCTTGCCATACAATGAGAGTGTCTAGGAAAGGCGTGTCAGTATATGCCCGATGGGTGCTGATATCAAGATGGGCTGGGCTTGCCTTGCTGCTTCTGAAAGCCATCTTCCTTTTGAATCTTCGTTTCCAGAAGAAGTCGGTCGGGTTGGTCTTCAGACTCGACAATCACTCGGGGGTCTTTGCGGCCATCTTCGGTCTATTTTGCGAACAGAAAACAAAATGTCAGTCACGCGACCAGAGTTGGCTGGAGATGCATCAAGGAAATGGAGCAGGGAAATTCAGGGCAGAAGCACGGGTGAAGTGATGGCAGGACGCACAGTTGCAAAGGTCGCGGTGCAGAAACCGGTACCGCGATCGAACCAGTCGTTGTCCCGAAGCTCGTACACTTTTACGCGCTTCTTGTCCGTGGCCTGATGAGGCACCGGCTGTGCCATCATCAATGGCTCGGAGTCGCCGCCCTCCGTGGCGTAGGAGTTGTATGTGACCAGGCTCGGGGTGATGTCGAGATGCTGTTGGAGAGAAAGTTCGGAAGCTGGTTCGTTGTGGCTGAGGATGGTGAGCGCCGCCACGACGTCGTCCTTGATGCGCCCTGGGTGAGGGGACGCGCGAGCTTTTGCGAGGAGGTCCAAAGCAGAAAAACAGCACACGACGGGCTACGAGCACTGCTGCGACGTAGTTGCGATGCGCTTCAGTGCGCCATACAAGTTGTGCAGGGTACGTGAGGGGGGTCGGGAGCTGGAGAGACGGCAGCGCGTGGTGCAGTCAAGGTTGTTGCTTGGGCTGGATTGACGACGTGTGTGGTGTCGGATGGGATCGGACCAACGAAAGGCTGGCTTGCGAAGGCCAGCTAGCAGGCGGAGGGGCAGTGGCCTGTGCGCAGCAGAGGCTCCAGGTACCAGAGCAGGGACTCTAGAAGCGAAGGCCGAACACGCGATTGCCACCAGGAAGGACGGTGCAGCATAAAGTGAAGCGAGCGCGCGGGGCTGAGGCAATGCTCGAGTTAGATCCGAAGCAATGAAGGAGCCAAGTCTACCGCCGATTGTGGCAGCCGGCGGGCAGAATGTGACAGAGTAGCGGGCAGATGCGCGTGACTGGGTCGCTTTTGGGTTTAGGCAGTCCGGACGGCAGCACGAAGGTGCAGTTGGGCTTCTATTTTTTCCTCCTGGGTGCCGACCAAGACGGCAGTGGAGCCAGGGACTAGATGTGGCTGGAGGGTCTGTTTTTCTTGGTAATCCTGGTAGGCAGGAAGGTTGGGGGGCGCCCTACTCCCCTTCGTGCGCTGCTTAGCCGTGCGAGCCTTATCAGTTGCCTCAAAACGCCACCGGCCCCATCACGTCAGGGTCACGTGCTTTTAAGGGGCAAGTACCTCGACACCTCGACACGGCGGTTAGGAAAACCTTTGGTGTGTGTGTGTTATCGTCTGCCGCGACTCTATTACGCCATCTCCGAATGCCGATGTCTCGGAACCAACATGTTGCCCAAAGAGCGCTTGTTGTCTGTCCCTCTCCGCCCAGTTGATGTCATGAGATTGGGGCCCTGTTTCTGATTGGATACCTGCTTGGGTACGCTCCCATGGGGTGATCTATTACGGTACAGATGCCCAACTTACCATTCCCATTCCGCCCATGCAAGTGGATGATTGACTTCGATGGCCCTGTAGCAGAGAGTGCTTCCCCTCCGTGTTGGGTCCGACCGCATTAGGCGCATGGCATTGTGCATGTTGGGCTGGAGAGATGTTCGTACGTCTGGCATCGTTGCAAGGTTCTGCTAGTTAGCCTAGATCATGCCCCTGCAGCGACCAATGTTCTTCGTTTCCGTCTTTCTCGAATTCCCAAAGAGCGGAAAGAGCTCGGTTCCCCAGGGTTTTGGACTCTTAATCATCAACCGGTCGCAGGTTTCTACAAAACTTCGATACCAGATCACCGCTAGTGTACTAGACCCCCACGTGGCCCAACAAGTTGACAAAATCCTCGCTGGTCTGCCACACCAATGTTACATAATTCACCTCGAACTACCTACCTTGGCCTGCCTGGATAAATAGACGTAACGTAACCACAACATTCATACATCACGAGCCGCGAGTGTTCTGCAAATACTCCCATCCACCCTGGGGATTATCCACCCAGAATAATTTTCGCAACACCCGCTTTATCTGGGTTCGTCTCGGCCTTGGGGTCCCGAGACACAGGGTCCGATCCCACGGGTATTGTATGGGGCTTTAATCTATATCAAGCATAGCCAAGGCGTGGTCAAGAGAGTTCGGCTAGTGCCCAGCGGCCCATCTTCTGCCACCAACGTCTTTCCCAAGATCGTCAAGCTCCCGGATCCCGAGATGTAGACTGATGATCGATGAGGGAGCGGTTCTTGGCGAGAACGGGAGAAATGATAATGCCCGACTGTGCAGGATGTGCATGCCATCGCACACACGCACGCTCCATTCAGCGCGGCGGCTGGATGCCAAGCACGGCTCAAAATAAATCGGCCTTGTTCTGGGCCCTGCTTGTATTGGATTATGATCACAAGCCAGAAGGCAGGCCTTGCAGTCAAGGCTTGATGTCTACCTGCCATGAAACCTCATATATATTCAGCTCGTCCAGGGAGCAGGCGCCTGGGAAGCCAATCAGACGGCGGATCCATTTGCATATTCAAGGCGGTTACGTGTTGGGGCGTAATATCGGTTGACAATTGAATCCTGCTTTCATTTGGTATATTCGTGTATGCTGGAGTGCAGCGAAGAGATTAGTGTCCATGACAACGAGAGCTGAGAAAGATATCAATCATCCAGCTGCGAAAGCCAGGTGAAGATTGGTGTGCCCGACAACACCATCTTGGGGAATTTGCACGATAGACCAAACCCAAGACCACCGCCGGATCTCTCGGTGGCACGGAATGGGCCAACGTCCCGAAGATAGCGGCGCAGGGATGTTCGAGCAATCCTCCGAGATGGTTGGCTCAAGCAGCAGCACACATGGGCAGAGCTGAAGAGGGGCAGCAACGGTTCGGACAGCTAAACAAAGAAGCATACATGGGCTGAGATGGTAGTGTCCTCCGCTACTGGATCAAGAATCCCTGCAATGCAGGCTAAGGAGGGTCCAAGGCGGAAGGTCTGCATCTTATTGATTAAGCAGCTTCTGCTGTACTAGGCATGGAGTCCGTATTTGCTGGGCTTCCAGGTAATGGACCATATTGGTATACCTACTGCTGCATATAACTTACCATTAATATAAGAGATTGTTTGATATCGACGCCACAACTGGAGAGCGACGAGCCGATGAAGCAAACACCACCCCAATCGTGGATAATCTGACATTATAAACGAGCTGACAGCATTGAGGTGGCCAGACATTTTGTCCGCAATGCGCCGAGGCGTGCATCGCAATGCTAACAGAAAAACACATGGGGGTCGCTATTTTCCCTCACCGAGAAGCAGGAAGAAGGCAGTCAGCAAAGCAGAGAAGAAGGTTCATCCAAACAGCAGGCTGGGGTTACATTGTAACGTAATGGATGTTTTGCACTATGATAAAGAAAAGACTTGCAGGTAGAAACACACACGGGTCCAGTACTCCGGCTGGTGTTCCTAGCAGCAATCTACCAGGCCAAAGGTTCCAATACTCGTGGGAGGGAGTAAGATAATGGGCTGCGCGCGCCGTTGACCATGGCTGCAGCCTGCAGACAACACTGACTGCAGTAGCGTGCAGCCCGGGTGGAGGCCCCGAACCCCCTAGCCCCCCTACACAAAGAGCCTATCCACTCATTAGACGCTGCCAGCCAGGCATCATGGCCGCTGTGGCGAGCGCTGGCCGTTGGAACGCCTCAACTAACGGCTTGAACCGGTAGCATTGAACGAGCTTTTAGGTTGCCATCCATGGATCTTCCTTCTCCCTTGCACCCTGTTCCATAGCCCATCCATGCCATGGGCCACCCATGATAACACCCATCCCATCTATCGTAAAATGATATTATGGGCTCGGCATTGCATTGGCCGTGCAGTAGGTTCCTGAGTCCTGGCTGCATCGAGCACGCTGCGTCGGCGCCCGCCTCGTATCTTCTCCATCCATCTCCGCCAAGCAACTGGGACATGTCGACGTTGGCTCCCCCTCGCTTGTCAAAACATTTTGATAAAGTACTAGTAGGCTATCTGTGTCCAGATAAATAAACCATGAACCCCCGTTTCCCCCCATCACTGGGCCAGGGAGCGGCAAGAGGGATGAACCCAGTCCCCCTCTTTCCACCTTCTCTTCCCCTGATCTGCTCTGTAGTCCTCGTTGACCATATATTCACGCCAGCGCGTCTTCGTTGCTTTCTGCCTCCTCAATCTGTACAACCGGGTCTTCTTCTCTCTTAATTCCTCCAATCCACATACCACGCCTTGTCGCCATTTCCATCCCCCACTTGGCAACAACACTCTCTTAGGATCTCTAGGTCATCAGCCCAGACTTACACTCCAGCCGACCATTCAACACAGTCTCCATATTTCAGCCGCTTCTCAATCCTCGCGAATATAGTTACATTGCGGGAGCTTTATTGCTTGTCGTCGTAATCCAGACGTCCAGTACAGTATCGCGCCACCCTTGCCGCTGTAAACCGGCGGCTAAATCAGATATATCCTGGTCTCCAGCTGCTCTCGCCTTCACCCACTTCTACGCCAAGGCCCTTGCCGTTTCGCTGCACTATTTGTCCGGGCTCTCATCAATACCCGTCCTCTCTATCAGCCGCTCTCACTTCCCAGTGCTCTTCTCCAAGAATTTAGCCACCACCAATTTCATCACCCACCATGAGCATCACAAAATAGTCCATGATATCGACCTTGCGCCGTCGGCAACCAGTCCCTGGATCACAACTGAGGACATCTGATCATTTTACAGAGCCAGTTTTGCCAGCAGCCCTGTCTTAGCTGCTTGAATCAATTTATACGGCGTTCGCATGAGCTGCAAGCTGCATATCCACCTTTGATCATACGCATATCTGCTGGGCCACAAACATCTTCACAATGTCTATCTTCTCCACAATCCGAAAAACCCGGAAGGACGCCAAGGACCAAAATGCCAAGTTAGCTGAGCAGAAGAAGAAAGAGGAGGAGACGACACCATATCGCCATGTCCCTACCCACGCAGCCACAGATGCGTTTGCCAGTGCGCCCCCAAGATGGAGAGAGGCTGCTGATCGAGCCAGGATCATTGAGCATAACCAAAGACGTAGCGCAATGGCATCAGGATCCTCCCAAGTGAGCCTGCCCTCGCCAACTGTTCCCCGCGTTGGGAGCTCGCTATCATATGTCTCGTTTCCAGGAAGCCCAATGAGCCTCAGGGCAAGAATGCCCAAGTCGTACAGCTACTCTGGTGTCTCGCCTTACTCGGATGGCAACCGCGATGTCATATATTCTGCCCCAAGCAGCGCTTATGCAAAGCCCGCTCCTTTCAAGGAGCAGTGGCATGCGGAGAGCACCAGCGACGAGACCAGCTCCCAGGATGAACTTGAAATGAGGAAGCCTCAAAGGGAGTCTGTACCCCAATCGAATGGACCCAAGGACTCACCCCATCGTCTTCATCCTGCCAGCCGTTCCAGGCGGACTTCTGATGCGTCCCTTGACAGACGTGCTGTATCCAATTCCACCTCCCAAAAGGCACATGGAAAGTCGACCTCCTCCCGAGACTCGAGACCTCCCCCCTCTATGAGAGGCTTTTCTCATGCCGCTCCAACACCCTCCTTAGTACCAACTCAATCATACAACACCCCCGGACCAAGTCCTGGAAATGATATGGCGACAAGCCCAACCCAGCCTGATGCTACGACCGTGCGTAATACCAAGTCTTCCCGCCACAACTCGGCCCCAATCCTCCCAGGACTCACGCTGGATTCCACAAGGCTGATGCCCACATCAAACCCTTCATCTCCTTTGGCCCTCGCAACCACTGTGGCGGACGATTATCTGGATAGTCATACCACCACGCCAAACGGCAACTCCTCAGCTTCCAGCCACGAACCGAACGTGCCGGCTATAGAGCCAACAAAGATCCAACCCAATGTCCAAAGTACGGTCATCGCTCCTCCGTCGTTGCCATTGCATATGGTTGCACCTTGGGAAGATGATCAAAGTCGAGGCAAACACCTCGATGGCAAGGTCGAGATTGTCAATACATTTCCTGAGCGGGCTGCAGACTTTGATTCTGGTGATTCGCCGAAACACAAGACGAAAAGATTCAGCAAAAGCGGAGGAAAGCTGCTGAAGAAGCATCGACGATAGAGAAAGCGCACGGGAATAGCGGGGGCATTGATAGAAAGGATCCATGCTTCAACTTGCTTGTATACGCAGCCTATGCGGCGCTACTAGATAGATTTGGTGTGGGTTTTGGAAACTTTTGGGCTTGGTTTGTTTTTTTGTCTTTTTGCCGATTTTTTCAATCTCTGGTTTTGATGTTCTAACGGCCTGTCCAATCCTGGAATTTCGGTGTCATTTGGTGGTTGGCTGCTTGCTGAGTACATATACATGGAGACTCTGTTCTGTTGTTCTTCCCTATTATCTTCCATTTGTGTAAACAGCAGGGTTATGGTGGCATTACTAGACGCCAGATGATGTTATGATGGCTACATTGATGATCCAGAATGATTTTTGAAACAGCCCCATTCGTAGCCAAAATTGCGCCAATGCAGGCCTGTAATCCAACGATTGGTTACCTTCGGGCCTCTTGTGGTATCACCAGGTGCTACTTCCAGGAGCACTGTTGAGGCTCGTAGCGGGACTCCCATGCCAAATGTTGAGACTGTCTTGGCAGGGCAAGATGTGGTGTTCTGATTCTCACATCGAGCCAAATATCCGGTACTAGACAGGTTTCTGCTCAGCGACAAATCCAAGTGATCCAGACAAGATTAAGAGCCGCGACACGACGTGTGCCGAGCTCATCCATCCTCGACCAATCAAAGGGTTCAATTGAGCAGATCGAGACCTTCTTCACTGCCCCTCTACCCCGCGGTCTTAGATATCTTCAGAGTTTCAGCACCCCTGTTAAGACCCCCACCCCCTTGGCCTCGCCGAGATGGCTCAAAGAATGTTATTTATATCAACCCTGACCTGTCGTTTTGTGCTCATTAGTAGCATCGTTCACTGGCTCGTCAGATATATCAAAGCCTACTGTGGTAAGATGCAAGTGCATGGCGCAACACATGGCACGCCTCAGCCACCAACATTGTCTCACGACTATTGCTTACTCTAGGTATGAACAACTAATCGATGCAAGGCCCATTACAAAGGAATTTGACTTCCACCCTCAATTAAATAATACCGAAGTCTAACTTAAAATCCACCTGGGTGGCAAACTTGGGACATGAGCAGTATTCTAGGGATAGGACACTAAAATGGAACAGCTCTCTATGATAATCACCTGGCCAAGAAGCCACAAAATTATTCCGAATTATACCTTCTGTAAGCATGGGAGTATCAACTTCAACATGGTTATACCGATATTTCCGAGTACTATTACCTGCAGTATCATCTGAGACTTGAGTCGCTCTATGTGAATCGAAAGCGGTGCTTTTACACATTAATCCCAGATCCATTAAATGGACGGGTCTAGTGGGCCTAACAGAGCCCTGGAGATCAATTGATGGGTCAGGGTCCCTGGAGCTAGGGGACTGGGGGCGTGATGTCACCTAACGGCACCTAGAACTATGCCTCGGACGCGCTAAACCGCGGCATCCACGCTTGGACCCCCTGGAAGGCTAAGCAGCGACAGCTGCAAACTGTCTCCAACAAGTAATGCACCTACGCAATTGCGCAACGTCACCGTTTCACCACCCTCAACTTCTTTTCTTCCCGCTGGCTTTTCTCTCACACCACGGAGCCTTCCCTTCCTCTCACCTTCGGCATGTGCTTTCTGATATAGAACTCCCTCGTAACAACCACGCGGCCTCAGAAGCCGCCCGCATTCCGAAGCCATGTCTGTACTGGACATCCTCGAGTCCAAGCTCGAGTTCTTGATGGAGCAGATCAACTCGGTCCCGGTGCACATTCAGTTCGCTGGCGTCGCTGTGGTTGCACTGGTTGCGCAGACGCTGGTAAGTTTCGCCATGCAGATCTGATGCCTCCCCGTGAGAGGCGACAACGAGGTGACGAGCCTAACATTAATAGTTCTTCATCTTCCTCCACATCGTCGCGCCCAAGCCGCGAGCCGTGCTCTCCTCGGAGAAGAAATACATCACCAGCCAGTCCACCTCCCGCAAGCCCTCGACCCCACGTGAGCTCCCGTGCTGGTACGACCGTTGGCTGGCAGAGCGCCAAGCCTCCGAAGCCGCTGAGGACGACACCTCCCCGACACCTGACATTGGATCCATTGAGCCCGCCGAGGTGCGGCTGAGCGTCGTCTTCCCTGCGTACAACGAGGAGGACCGTATTCTCCCAACACTCGAGGAAGCTGTTGCATGGCTCGACGAGAACATCGGACGGACTGGCAGTGCTAAGGGTGCTGCTGGTAAGACCAACAAGCGCCATGCTGCTCGCCACGCGCAGGATGGGAAGGCCGCTGGATACGAAATTATTGTTGTGAACGATGGCAGTACCGATAAGACGGTTGATGTTGCTCTTGAATTCTCCCGCGAAAACAAGCTTCACGACGTGCTGAGAGTCGTCTCGCTGGAACGAAATAGAGGCAAGGGAGGCGGTGTCACCCACGGTCTGCGACATGTCCGGGGAGAATATGTTCTCTTTGCTGACGCGGACGGCGCCTCGAAATTCAGCGATGTTGCCAAGCTGATTGAGGGCTGTGAGGAGGTCGTGGATGGCGCCCACCGCGGTGTTGCAATTGGAAGCCGGGCCCATCTCGTCGGCAGTGAAGCAGTTGTTAAGGTGAGACCAAGCCATTTCTTTCAAAACCAAACCCATGGACTTTCTGACTTCTTTATCCTAAGCGCTCTGCCCTGCGTAATTTCCTGATGCGCTCCTTTCACCTCGTTCTCATGATCCTAACACCACCTGCCACATCCCGTATTCGTGATACGCAGTGCGGCTTCAAGCTCTTCACCCGCGCTTCCCTCCCCCACATCGTGCCGTACATGCACACGGAGGGTTGGATCTTCGACATTGAGATGCTGATGCTTGCCGAGTCTGCCCCCGCCATTCCCATTCACAGTGCAGATGGCACGGTCATTGGCAGCAGTGCCGGTATCAAGGTTGCAGAAGTCCCTATTGAGTGGCATGAGGTCGGAGGCAGCAAGCTCAACGTCATCCAGGACAGCATCAAGATGGCCATTGGCCTGGCAGTCTTGCGTGCCAGCTGGATGATGGGCGTGTATAGAAGACGGCTGACCTAGACCACATGAGTACTCAAGGTGGGCATTCACGCTTCCCAAACAAGGCAAGGCTTTGCAGGCAGAGCACTCTGGCGAAACATCGCCGCCATTCTTGCCCAGTTTGGTCTTTCTCTGCAGCGCATTTCGTTTCCTCCCTATCCCTACAAGCACTCTACGAGGTGTAACAAGGTTAAGGTGGAACAGTCTGGTGTATTCAGACATGTATGAAAAGGCAAAGTTTTATAGACATGCTAGATACAGGTGGCTACCATGGCAAAAAAATAAAAGAGCCTTCTTTTTTCCGGGCATCATGCATGCGGCGTTTCTTCATAGCTGGCAAATTCCTGCTAGTCAGGGATTATTGCACTCTCTGCTTGACATTAGGGATTAAAACTGATGAGAAGGGTGGGAAAACAACAAAAACTACAATGATCTCTCCATGTTGTTTATCCATAAATATGTCAAGGATATCTCTTTTCTTGTTCCAAGTTTTCTTTTTTGCTTCTGAGCCGTGAGAAATTCTATATTAAATCCAAGAAGCGAGAAACAATAAAGGTGATATGAGAGAAAGTCTTTTCGGGCAGATTTGGAAAAGGGAGGTGTGAGAGAGGAAGACGGTTGAGGCGAAGTCTCTCTTTTGGGGGTTAGGATGGATAGTGAACGGCTTCCTCGAAAATTCTCTTCACTTCAGAACCATTTGCTTCATTGTATGGTCTAGATAGTATTTTGATCTCCCACCACGCCAACATCAAACTAAAAAAAAAACAGTATAAGGAGGACAACAGCCGCTCCATTAAATGGAAACCATATTTTCCCATGCAGGGCGCCTCAAACACCAAAGCCCAAAATAGAAATAGGAAGATGGGTGGGAGAGTATGGAATTCGAGGAAGGAATTTGAAGAAGAAAGGCGTGGAGAACTTAGAGATGGCGGTTTCACTGGAACCCCTCACGCCACATTACAGGCAGGAACACGATGCAAGCCTTCCAGAGGATTAAAATCGCGTCAATGAAAGCCAACGGGAGCTTCCATAGGCCCAAGGGTCCGCCGATAACGGCACATGCATTCAGCCAGATGGCTAGGAAGGCGACCGAGAAGAAGTGGTAGAAGAGAACGATGGGACGGTGGATGACAGCACCGAGGAGACCAGAGGGACCATCGGTCATGCCGCGCTCAAAATAACCAAAGCAACCCAGCTGAAGGGCACGTAATTGGCGATCGTTTGCGGCGAAGAGAGCGTAGAGAGCCTGAGCCAACACGTTGAGGATTCCCGTCAGGCTCTTGCGGCGCCAGTAGAGAGTGTTCATGGCATCCTTGATGGCTCGGGAGTCTTCAAAGCTGGGGATTTTGTCGGGGTGGAGGAGTTCGGAGAGAATGAGACAATCGTTAAACGCAACAGTCATACCCGCGCCCGTTAGAGGGTGACGCATGTTCATAGCGTCGCCGAGTAGAATGAGACCGTTTGTGGATTGCTTGGATGGCGGGAGCCAACTGTTTGGCATGCTGCGAGGAATCTTGCCATCCTCCAATGCCTTCTCGACTGATGGGCGAATGGCGTCTGGAAGTGCGGGTAGAACGCAGTTTTGAATGTAACCTCGGACACCTCCAGCCGATGGGCTTGCCTCAGGCAATTCCGTAGGAACATCCATTAAAATTCGGGTCTCGTGCGTGCCAATCTGGTAGAGGAGAACTGGGAAGGTGTTTCCAATAATCACCATGGCGTGCCCAGGCTGGGGCATTTGGCAATCAATAAGTTCGAGGGCGTAGAATTTGCTCTTCACGACGGGAGTAGTGTCGATTACTTGCTTTCGGAATTTGGAAGCATACCCATCAGCAACAATAGTGAGCTGGCCAAAGAAGCAGTCGGCACGCTTCTCGCCCGTGACTTTGTCTACCGTCCTTGTTTCCACACCCAGAATCTGGTCTTGGTAGTCACCACGCACAACGTTGACGACTTCCGTCTCAACGACTGTGATGTTCTTATGTGCCAAGCAGGACTTTCGAAGCTGCATGATGAACTTTCCGTGGTGAAATCCTCGGCCAACGGGCCTCTTTCCTTCCTTTCCAGCACCGGACCATTGGTGGTCTACCTGGCCATCTTCGTCCAATGTTGGGTATGGAATGAGCACCGGTTGGCCGTGGTAGCTGACACAGTATCCGTAGCAGGGGATGGCGTCGATGTTCTCTAAGCAATGACCCAAGCCCAATTTCTTGAGGGCTGCAATGCCACCGGGCTGCATCAGCTCACCAACAATACGGTCAGGCTCGTGCATCCATCTCTCGAGTAGTAGGACAGAACGCCCCTGGTTTGCCAATGAAAAAGCAATTGCGCAGCCGAATACACCAGCACCAACAATTACGACTTCGGCTTCGTGGAATTTTTCGCGGCGCTCTGCGCGATAGTCGGCGGTAAATTCTGTCGCCATAGTGGTCGAGGAAAGGGGGTGTTGTGATCTCCAGACGTCGATTAGGGGCGGGGAGGGTCAAGCTTGGCGACTTCGGCTGCGTGAACAACGACGGATGATCAGACGAGAACTCGCGTTCGGCTGTACCGGGAGGCAGGTTGTTGAAATTTCGGCCAAGGCAAAAAGTTCTAACATGCGGGACAGCAAGTCATCGGGTTCGTTCCTGATACTCGAGACGAGCGGGTTTCTCTCATGCGATCGATCCAATTGCTCGCAGGCGAAATGGTCCCGAAGACACCGACTTGGTTCTCTTGTCGGGTCCGTCGAAGTCACGCTTATTCTCGAAGCAGGTCGGGTGGGGATGCGTCAGGCAAGCAGACGGTAGTGAGATAATATATGGGTTGGCGAAGTCGTTCATGAGCAGCCTGATCTCTCTCTGCTTTGCGAGATTGACCCTGAAATCCACCCCTACAGAAAGTTTAGCTCACAGGGGACATTGACACCTAGGCGAAAGGCAAGTGGCGCCACTTTAGCCCTCACCGCCCCGCCACCGAGGACGCCCATTGGCTACCAGCCCGCCCGACTCTCTGATCAGCGGGCATGTGATTCTGGCACCGCAACCTTGAATCGTACGATTAGATCGAAATTTCATAAGCAGCCACCCCCACCAAACAAACACTCAGTGAGAGGCTGTGGGCTGGACCTGGAATCCACGCGGCACATCCCAGATCGAGCCAATGAGCATCAAGTTATTGTCGATGAGCCTTCCATTTTCGACACCCGGTGCAAAAATACACGTGTATGCGACTTATGAGTGACTACATTCAGTAGATATGTATTCTGCCCGTCCAGGGCGTGTATGCTAGGTATATAGATGTTTCTGAAAGTTTTATACATGCAGAATGAATGGTTTCCCGTCCAGTGTTTCAAGACTCGTGTCCTACCTCACATTGAGACCAGCTGGGAACGACTCGTGGCTGTAAACTTAGAAACTCGTACATCATCTTCTTCTCGCCTGTCAACAAGCTCCTTGATTCACTGCTCGCAATGCCAGATGATATCTCACGCGCATTATCGCCATTAAGTTTCGTCGGAACACCATCGTCTTTCGCATTCTGCTTCGCGGGCAAATTTTTAGGCTTTTCCTTTGGGAATATATCTCTGCTGCGGATGGCGTTGCCTTCCATTTCAGAAAAGTAGTCCCAGTTCGGGTCGGGACGTTGCACAGCCTCTTGTTGCGGCTTCTTTTCCGCTGGAATACCCATATTTTCTTGAAATTTTTCATCGGCGGGCTTTGTATTCGGCCCCAGCGGAATCGTGCCCTGGGGGGTTTGAGCAGTCATGACAGTCTCCGTGTCCAAGGTGTTTGACAACTTGTGGGGGGTGATGGCATCGCCTGTTCTTGCCTCGCTAAACTGCTGAGCATCACCAACGTCATTTGGCAACGTTGATAATGATGAGCCATCATTGATCTCCTTGGGCGGGCGCGAGCTGACAACTTCATATTCCGATTGGAAGACATTGCCCATGTTCGAATTGATGTCCGTGTTGCTCCTAGTTGACGGGGCGTAACGTTCAGTGCGCTCTGAATTGAATTGCAAAGCCATGTCTAAGAGAGATAAGGCTTCCGTGTGTGGGCTAGAAGCAGATCCAGAAGCCATCGCAATCCGCTTCACTACTGTCTTCATGTTCAGCTTAAGAGTACGTTTGATAGCTTCCGTGCCGACCCAGTTGGGCTTCTTCTCCATCAGAGCAGCCAAAAGTAGTTTCAAGTCTGAATAATGCAGCTGTAGTATGTGGATTGAGACAAGGTTCAAGAAAATGAACTCTTGATACAAGAAATCCCCACAACCATTCTGCGAGATTGCCATCTGGCAAATTCTCAGTGCGTCTGCAAGGTGGCCCAGTGCGATGGTCTTCCGTGCAGCGAGGTTGTAGACCATGTCGTGAACACGCAAGCCACGACCAAGAGCGTCGCGGATAATGGATATTGGAGGCTCTCCATTGGCAAGTTTCGCCATTAGCACTGATGTTGCTGCGTCGCTCACGTCGTGGCCCTGAGAACAAGACCAGAGAAGTCTACTTGCGTTATCCGTCGAACCGCCATCCAGCCTGACTCGAGCAAGAACTGCGAGTCGAAGACATCGTATGGAGAATTTTTGACTACTCGTAGAACGGAATTTCTCATACGATTCCCAGACTAGTGACCACTTGGACTCTCGTGCATAGCGCTGCATAGAATCAAACACATCAGTCTCTTCCTTTGATAGGGGGCTTGGTGCAAGTCCCCGAGCAACTCGGACGTATAAACGCTCCCAATCCTCGCGTGCTGGTACAGATTGCCTGCTCGAGGGAGTGCCATCCTTCTCAGCACTTGGGGAAATGGCTTTAGTACAGTCAGCAAGAGTGTAATTGTGGTTAGCTTTTCGCAACAAGGAGGCGAGTTTGTTCACTTTCTCCCAGGACATGTCCCAATTGGTGTGACATTTCTGGTAGAATTTGAGAATATAAGCATCGTCAACACGAAAATTATTCTGAAGACAGAACTGGATCCAAGCAAAAACCGTGTCAAGCCCATTGCTTCTGAAATAACGCGTAAGGAGTGAGTAGACCCATCGACCCTGTAGCTCTAGGCCATGAGTCTGGGTCAGGTAACGCACAATAGCCTCAAAGTTGGCTGGCGCATGCCGTCTAGAGCATGTGTCCACAAGGTTGGCAAGAATGCCTTGAAATTGCCTTCGGCTGGCCTCACTACCGTCGCCTTGAGCGCCGCTTTGGTACGGTGCAGGAAAATGAACAGCTTGGTATATGCCACGGCGCTGCATCTCGTCTTGGAGAAGATAACTGACGAGTTGACGGGTTTCAAAGTCTCCCTCAAGCGTAGATTGAGAATTTGAAGGCAGCCTAGGCGAATGAAGCATATGATACAATTCAATGGTTCGTGATGGTTTTTGATAGAGGGTTGAATGAGAGACCAAAATACGATAAATCGCTTTCGAATCCAATTGATCGAGGGAGCACTCGGAGTTGCAAAACTCGCCAAGAAAGCTTGGGACACGGTCTGCAATGTTTGCTTCCATCATCCAGTCCAAGACGACAGCAAGGACCTTGTGGACGTCCTTGTGAAAACGACGCGTACTATTTAACGCTGAAACTTGATGTTCGCCGAGGAGGATCGCAACTTTGATCAGTGCAACAGAATTGGCCTCCATGGCCTCCGCATGTAAGCCTGTCGCAGTAACATGTGACAGTTTATCGAAGATTTCCAGCGCCATGTTTAGCCTTGAAGATGTGCCAGCAACTGACCAGTCCCTAGGATCAAATTCGACCAAGAGCTTGTTCAAGAGGGGCAATACCGTGCTATCAAATGTGGTCTCAGCACCAGATGCACGGCCCAGGAAATCCGTGACTGCCTGAGTCAATGAAGAATCCATGGTGGAAAAGGCTCCCACAAATGGACGCTCATAAGATTTGGAGCTCGATGGAGCCGCTACTGTCAAGGTAGCCATTCCCACTTGAAAATCTGCCGGTATGCGTGGTTTGGCATGATGGTTCGTGTGCGGAACCTTGGGTCGGGAACTTTGAGAAGCGGGGGAAATTGGCTTGCCCAGCTTAGGCCTACTGAACGTGTCTCTTGAAGACACAGTTGAGCGTATGGGAGGTGCATCAGGCTTTTGTCCAATAATCGGCAAGTCTACTGTGACTCGGGGATTTGTTGAAGAGGACGATGAACGAGCGGAGCGAGAAGGCAAGTCGATTCGATCGTTTCCTTTGATCTCCAAATCCTGCATTAGATTTTTCTCCTTGCTATGGACATCGGAATCATCGGATCTTGAACGAAGCCGCGGGCGGCGCTTCCGTCGTTCGGGTTTGCTGATTCTCTCAATTAATAAAGCCTCGCAGTCTTCGTCCGATAGCCTTGTATCTGCAAGGAGAGCAGGCCTATGGCGGGCCTTCACAGTGTGTAGTTTTCGTGCATTATCGAAGGCAGATCGTGCAATCCGCATGCGCTGTCTGCGTTCCTCGGCAAGAATAAACACTGAGCAGGATGTGGTGAAAACTAGGCCTCGAAGAGCGTTGAGCGCGGCCCGGGAAGGGACCGGTTTAGACGACACCATTGTCAGTGGCCATCATCCCAGCGCCAAAGCCGGTGGGAAGATGTACTAAGGGGTCCAATTGGGCGTAAAGAAGATCGGAAATGTATGTGTCGTGCCAAAAGCTGGTCGTCAGTGAGGTTGTCCAGTACCAACAATCATGGGCAAGAGTCAAAGTAGGGGACCCAGGCTTATTATGTAAGGGCTAGAGCGGGCAGGATCCGCCCAATCATAGGCCTCTCCATTTTTTAATGGCCTGATTCACCGAACCACGAATGATGGCTGGCATTTTTAAGGACAACGGCCTTGCTAACCGGAGTCAATTGAATTGGCTCCTGCATATGTAGGTAGAAACGAGTACTCAGATTTGGACATTTTTTTACTTGCGCAAAATGCAACGATGCCTGGAACGAGGGTTCGTACGCACATCAATAGACTTTGACCTAAGCCAAGTGCCCGTGCAATGCCATCGTGACTGCCGTCTCAATCAGAACCGACGCGTACCAATACTATTCGTGTAGAGAAAATCTCAAGGGTTTTCTTTTTCTCCTTGTCCATCTCCCATAGCTCGCCATGAATCTTCCCATGTTGATTTCATGATGTCCGCAACACCTTTAGCACCTCCTCCCGTCAGCCCGCTCGCCCGGTATCGCTTGCTGTCGCCGAATGCTGCCGTAAAGGTCAGTCCTCTATGTCTGAGCACAATGAGCTTCGGGAACGCATGGTGAGAATTATACTGATTTTTCGCTCCTGGCGCCGCATGCTATCTGATTGATTAATATGGTTTTTTCACAGGAAGAACCAGATGGGAGATCGTAGCCAGCGTGAAGTTGAGGCTCTTCTTGATTACTTTTACTCTCAGGTAAGGACTTAAGCACGGCTCCAATCTCCATACAATGAAATCTAATTTGAAACTAAGGGGGGTATGCGCCTTGTTTCTGACATTAAAGCCGGGTTGCTATACTAAGACGCAGTAGGGAACTTCGTTGATACGTCCAACAACTATCAATTTCAGGAATCGGAGCAATGGGTCGGTGACTGGATGAGGAAACGAGGTGTTCGTGACCAAATGGGTTTGATTTTCTCCTGATCAATGCTATTGTACTCGCTGAATACAACATACTAACATGAAGAGTACAGTCATCGCGACTAAGTATACAACCAACTTTGTGGCTGGGCCAGCACACCCTCCTATCATGGCCAATTACGCCGGCAACGGAACCAAAAGCTTGGTACAGTCGGTTGAATCAAGTTTGAAGAATCTTCAAACGAGCTACATTGACGTGGTATGGCCTTCCAGTGCTTTCACGCAAAAGATTCTCAGTCTCATCCCCAGCACAGCTTTACGTACACTAGTGGGACTACAGCACCTCTATTGCAGAACTGATGCAGTCGCTCAACCATCTCGTTGCCATGGGAAAAGTTCTATATCTTGGTGCCAGTAACACGCCCGCCTGGGTCGTAAGGTTTGACAAATACCTTCTTCCTGCTTGCTCTTGTGGCATCCTAACCTAACCAAACTTTTAGCAAGGCAAATGAATACGCCAGGCACCATGGCCTTCGTCAATTCTCCGTTTATCAAGGTCTGTGGTCTGCGAACTGCCGTGATTTGGAACGTGATGTTGTTCCAATGTGTAAGAGCGAGGGTATGGGAATCACGCCTTGGGGGGCACCTGGGAAAGGAAAGTTCAAACTAGCAGAACGAAGACGATACGAAGATGGCCTTCATTCGAACTTCAACGACCCCGAAGTGAAGATATGTAAGACAATGGAGGACCTTGCATTTCAGCTCGACACCACCTTGACGTGCATCGCACTATCATATATCATACACAAAGCCCCATACGTATTTCCAGTGATCGCGGCCCGGGGGATCAGTCACCTGAAAGAATATATCCAAGCCCTCGTCGTTAAGCTTGATCCAGATAACATCAAGGCGGTTGATTCAGCAATCCCTTTTGATCTAGGCTTTCCCCATTCTTTACTTTGGAAAAATGACGTCCCTGAGACTCCCCAGAGTGTCAGCTTCTTGGAAATGGCGGGCACATTCGACTTCGTTCCAGAACCGGCAGTACGTCAGATAGCCCTGGTGCGAACCCTTCCATCTAGATTTCCAACTAACCTATTCATAGCCTATCGCCGCGCCAATGGCTAGAACCGACGAATATAATAGAGATAGTTTCGCAGCCAGAAGAGCCCCAAACCTAAGGTTTTCAAAACCTCGCGGCAGAATGCAATGATCGACTGCAAACAATATCTGCACAAATCATAGTTGCGCAAATGAAACTTCCCTATCATCCGGATTACTAGTGTTAGAAGTATTTTAGTATACACAGTTTTCTCTTATCCGAATTGAAGTCCAACAATGCCGCTGTTTTTGGTTCATGATTTCCGCCCCCGACATACCGTCTCCTATAATAATATGAAGGCGCCTTAAGTCCTACATTTAGTTAGACCTGCCTATTGATTATAGATTCGTAGGCACAGTTCACTTTTTCCAAGCTATTCGGTACATGTAGGCACCTAGGTACTCATCTGGGTGCCTGCCTGAGGAATCCGGAAGGCGCCGCATTGAAGGCAGGACGCTCCTGCCTCCCCTCTTTCCCAAATACTACCTGTCTCCAAGCATGGGGCCATCAGAAGCAAATGCAGCCCTAAGTACCATATCGCCATGCACGTCTTTTCCATGTCCCTCTCGACCCAGCTTAGCAAAAATGAATCCACCAAATCTAAATCCTCCTCAAACACAAGGCTGTGGATCATCAGAAAGAACGAGTCTCCTCGAGACCGACGAGGAAAAATTGCGAAGCCCCAGCCCTTCGTCGAGGACGAATGTTTCGACCCAAGGACTCGCGTCCCAGCAACACGAGACGAATCACAATTGCGAACTTGGAGAGGATCCTACGGGGGTGTATATCTTCCCGTACTTTTCGCCATTATTCAGTCACTAACCCTTACCCAGTCTCGCTGAGCATGACAAGGTTTCAATTTCAAAAAACGAAAACAAGGACAAAATATCCTCGCATCCCAATGAATCTCGCATCAATACGATGCTACCCAGTAATACCTCGGAAAAGCTGACTTCCATCAAACCTACAAATAAAATTACACGTAGGAAGAGGTCATTGGAAGGAATCAGTGATGAAGAAGTTGTCCTCAACCACTCTAGTCAAGGTAATTTCACACAGTACTGCCCCCAGGGGTATCTGTAATGGCTTACAAGTTCTGGTTTGTTCAAGACCCAAACAGCTCATCCAACCCTTCCCAACCAAAGAGACTCAAACCAGTACCGCCTAACGCGCCCCGAGACATCAAAAAGTGTGGCATTTTCACTTTTCGGCATGGCGTCCGCATCATCGACTACAGGCTCCCAACTCGAAATCCAACAATTACTCCTCATAGCAGTCAAGAACTTCGAGGTTGTGATGGGTTCGATAGCCCGGAAGCAGAGTAACGAGACATTTTTGAAAAGTCACCGTTAGATAATATCCCATATTCCGCTATCACTGAGCCACTTTCTAGCAAGAGTTGAATAAAGTTCCATTGGTCTGGGAGCCCGGCTGAGCCATACATTGCCCTCGATTCCCCCCTCACATGAAATGATATTACACACCTGGGTCCAATAGGAGGGGAGCAATGTGAGATACGAGGACCAAATAAAATTGATGAACTCATTCAAGAGCATCTCACAGAACGAATGCATGTTTAGGCCTTTGATTTGAATATTGTGCGGGTATCTACGCAACAATTACTGTGGTACTTTTCGTCAATGCCTTGTAGGTAACCAAAACGGCGACCAACAGAAAGCCTGCGACCATATATCAACCTGAAACGCCGTTCCCAAACGAAGTCACACCAAACACCACGTTGAGTCTTACTTCGACGACTTCCCCTTGGCTTCGTTTTCGCCTAGTATCCGGAATTGCACATTGGTTAGCCCAACTCCTGAATAATCTTCTTGGCCCGTCTCGAACCCAGGACACGTCGCGATAGCGAAGTATTTGCCGTCGTTTGAAAAGTCCATTGCCGCCACATTGTTTGGCAGCTTGAGATACTGTCTCAGCCTCCTCTTGGCCGCTGCGTCCCACAATGCGATAGAGCTATCACCTCCGCCTGAGGCAAAGGTACCATGTACAGGGTTGAAAACAAGCGCATTAACTGGATACACAATGTCTCCATCGCCATCAGGAGCCGGTTGTCTGTGGCACTTAAAGGCGTATTTGCGAGCCTGGGACTCGGCTGTGTCTTCGAACCATTCGACGGCAACGCGACCCTCAATACTGCTAGTGGCGTACCCAGCGTCATTGGGCATACACGCGACGGCGCGGGTGAGATACCGCAAGGAAGACTCGCGCTGCTGCCACGGCTTCAGGTCGCTGCCTCCGGTGGAGAGAAGATCTCGCATCGCGTTCAGGTCATAGATATTGATGATGCGGCCTGTCATAGCAACCACCACCTTGCTGGGGCTGATAGCGAGCGCATGTGGCTTCCCGGGGAGAGCCACCCGGATAGGGGAGCTGGATGGGTCTCGAATGTTATGAATATGGAGGGTGCTGTCCCATGCGGCGGACACAAGAATACCTTTTAGCTATCGTTAGAGCCCATGTTGGGTAAAATTGTACAGCTTAGTTAGACTTACCGTGGGCCGCGCTGTACACAACAGCACATGCTATGGCCCCATGTTTGCTTAAGACAGTGATTTGGCCGGTTTCGAGATCAATTCTTTCCACGGTGAGTTAGCTCGAAGCTCCAAACATCCTCTTCCAAACACCCAAGAACCGCTCGTACCTATTGACACACCGGTCGACGCTTGCAGTGTAGGCAACACTATCATCGTCGCCAAAGCAAACATCCAGAACTGGCGCTTGGTGCTTGAACTTGGTGATGAGAGGTGACTGGTTTATCTCGGTTTGGGCAATATCGTAGAGGTAAACATTCGTATCCCAGGAAGAGACCAGAAGTTTCGAAGAGCTGGTTGGCGCAAACTTGAGCGCAGTTACTGCGTCGCCGGGAGGCGGTACGAGATCTTCGAACTGCAAAGCTACCAAATCCGTTAGAATACAGCGAAGAATAATGGGAGTTGGGTGGAGGACATACCTGGTGCCATACTGAATTGTGGTGCTGAAGCTAGGGTTGCTCCAAACCAATGCGACTGGCGAGATTGTTTACATGGTTACAGTTAGTAGCTTCACTGTCGCCCGGGCGGAAGAAACTCCGTCACCGCTCTATAGCCACGCCCCACCTTCCCCTTGTAGGTAGGTTGGACTATTTGTGTTCAACTTGGATTCAGTGCAGCTCTCATGAGACATCTCCCAGTTACGCAGACAAATTCTGTCGATAGTTATATTCATAATGAATATATCACGATGCTTACACCATCCTCTAGAAGATGGCCGTTGATATGGGTAGGTTTGCTCCGGAGATACCTTGATGTTTCACGAGTCGAACAACAACTTAAGTTTACATTGACGTCTAGGCACAATCTTACCAAGATACCTCTCACCATCTTGCTATTCCTTACACTAAACGTGTCCAAAATCGTGAACATCATGACCAGGTTTACGGATGTTCGAAACTCAGAGCTAAATCAGCTTACCCAAGGTGACGACTCCGTGGATCCAACTTTCTCCACAGCCGAAAGGGAGCGTTGGGGCTGGAAGAAATTCGAAACCAATTTTGAGCCACACTACCCCGCCACACCGCCACACCGCCACACCCCACCATCCCTCAGAAAGCCTGCTCAAAATACCAAAATTCAGCGGGAGGCATGACTGGCTGAGGAGTCACAAAAACTGTTTTCTTCAAGCATCACGAACACGAGGAACTACGGGAACAACGGCCTCGATTTTTCGCCCACCGACGAATCTCCTTTTTCCCGCCGCCCATACGTTCCGATCCAGAGCCGAGATTCGATCCAATACTGATCGCTTGGAGGACTTGCCTGGGATACACTTCCCCCACCTCAAGATCGATACCCAATCCACCCAAACGAACATTGTAGTGTCGCGCGACCGGAAACACCGCCAAAATGTCGTTAACAAATTGCCGATTTTACGAGGAGAAATATCCGGAGATTGACAGCTTCGTGATGGTCAATGTCAAGCAGGTGGGTTGCGGAACATTTTCGCCATGCCACTTGAAGGGCTGCTCTAACCATGAGGCAGATCGCCGAGATGGGAGCCTACGTCAAGCTTCTTGAGTACGACAATATTGACGGCATGATTCTTCTCTCCGAACTGTCCCGAAGACGTATCCGAAGTATCCAGAAGCTCATCCGAGTGGGACGAAATGAGGTTGTGGTGGTGCTGAGAGTAGACAAGGAGAAGGGTATGATTATTTCCCTCGACAGCTCAGTGACTCATGGCAGCTCCAAGTTGAGAGGTTGGATATTAATTTCGGGCAGGATATATTGATCTCTCAAAGCGACGAGTGTCTCCCGAGGACATCGTCAAGTGCGAAGAGCGATACAACAAGAGCAAGATGGTCCACTCCATCATGCGACACGTCGCCGAGAAGACCAACACCCCCATCGAGACCCTATACGAGACTATTGCGTGGCCACTGAACCGCAAGTTCGGCCACGCGATCGATGCATTCAAACTTTCCATCACGTTAGTCTTCACCTCCTGCGTATATGCGCGCTGAAGCGGGGCTCATGTACTAACAAGGAGATTAGCAATGTGGAAGTCTGGAACGACATCACTTTCCCCAGCCAGCCTGTCTCTGACGAGCTGAAGCTCTACATCAGCAAGCGACTCACACCCCAGCCCACCAAGGTTCGTGCTGATATCGAAGTCACATGCTTCGGCTATGAGGGTATCGACGCCGTCAAGACTGCCCTCCGCAAGGCCGAGGAGAAGAACACCGAAGAGACTCAGGTCAAGGTCAAGCTGGTATCCCCCCCTCTCTACGTCTTGACCAACACCTGCCTGGACAAGAGCTTGGGTATCAGCCGCCTAGAAGAGGCTATTGTCGATATCCGCACAAACATCGAGGCTGCCGGAGGCAACCTCATCGTCAAGATGGAGCCCAAGGCCGTTACTGAGAGCGATGACGCCGAGCTCCAGGCCCTCATGGAGAAGAGGGAGCGGGAGAACGCGGAGGTCAGCGGTGACGAGAGTGTCTCTGACAGCGACGAGAACATTCCCGACACAATCTGAGCAACTCAAAAAATCAAGGAGAGGTGCTGAGGTTTCAGCACGGCAGCTTTCCTCTCTGCCAAGTCTCACGGCCCTTAATTGACAGGTCAAGGATGGAAATTTAGATGCATCAAGGCGCTTAAAATTGGGACTCATTACTGGGGCAAAAGTATGTTATGGTGCTGCGATGATGGTTCTCGGTACAGCTGACAGAGGGCTTGTGTCCACGGCAATGTCCCCCGGGTGTCAAGCTAATGACATATTATTTTTGAAGTGGTTCGCAACAGGACTTGGTGTGGTTGGGCGCCCACTAATTTCCTGCACGATAGGTGAATTCATGGATTTACGTTACTTCATGTTACAGAGACATGTGTATTCAGCATACTAGGTATCGAGAACCGTAAGGCAGAAAGAGATTCGACTGTGGTTTGAACCTTGGAGCGGTTGGTCTATTGTCCGATGAATGTGAGGCTTCTGACCATTTGGGGCAGTATGAATGAACAACATTGTAAATATCCATGTGTATGATGTGCCTTCGCCAACACGATTCCTGTAAGTTTCTGGAATTACTGCTTGCTATTAACTGGATCAAGGAGTCCTGAACCAAATCCACCCAAGGCGAGGGGAAGCATTAAGGTTGGTCACCAGCCGCTTAATGCCTTTCTATCATAGTCATGATATCACTAGCATCATGATCGCTTTAAAATTCACTCCAGGATCGACAAATCCCCAAGGCGGCCCACATTTCAGAGAACGTTGAAAGTGCGATAAGGCGAGTGTCAAAACTCAATCTTGGACAGCATATATATGGGCTAAGAGGAGGCACCGATATTCATTAGGGGTAGATAGTATTCACACACGTCATCTTCAATTCACTAGTGGGATAATTTCATCAAGAGAATCGCAATTTTACACTCCTCACCATGACAAAATCTCTCACGTTGTTCAGAGGCTCACCTGCAATAAACACATATGTCTGGTCCCCGTTTGTCACAAAACTTGAGGCGAGACTACGGTTTGAAGATGTGTCCTACAAGCTCGCAGTCGGGTCACCAAAGTCAGCTCCTGGAGGCAAGATCCCGTACATACAACTAAACGGCGACGAGAAACTCGGTGACTCTACACTCATCGTTAAGCAACTGGTCGCCAATGACCTCCTATCCGACCTCAATGCCAAGCTGTCCCCGACGGAGAGGGCACAAGATCTAGCCATCCGTGCTCTACTGGAAGAGAAGCTTTACTTTTACACTGTCAGAGAAAAGTGGGAGGACAACTATGTGACAATGCGAGATGGTGCTCTTGCCGCCGTTCCCTGGCCTATCCGGATCGTGGTTGGCTGGATAGCTCAAAGCACCCTCTTGAGGACTCTTTATGGCCAGGGCTCGGGGAGGCTAGACGACCAGGAAATTTCGCTGCTGCGAGGCGAGGTTTGGGACGCCGTGGATGGGCTACTCCTTGAAGCCAGACAGAAGTCATCCGGGGCGGGAAAGGAACCATTTTGGTTTCTCGGGGGGGCGTTGCCAACGGAGGCAGATGCGAGTCTTTACGGGTTCATCGCTGCGTCATTGGTTTGCACTGCGTATGTTTCCAGTCTTTGAACCTTGCCCGAAACCTGTTATGGTGAAACTGACATCAATGTGAACAGTTGCCCCGTCAGCACAGATATCGTCAAGAGTTATCCGGTTCTAATGGACTATGTGGGGAGGATCCACGATGCATACTTCCCTGACTACGAGCGGTGGGATTAAATATCAGTTGAAGGAGAGAAAACATAATAAGAATATTTGTTCGTAGTAAGCACTTGGTCAAGTGCTGTGCCAGATTCGGAGTTGTAAGTAAAAGAGTGCTCTTCCGTGTATGGCATTTTCACCATTTACCTATGAATTTATTCCCACCAGGGGGAAGCTTGTTGGAGTGTATTGTAAGAATAAAGTAGACGTAACAATACAATACTTAATAACCAATGCCAATCTTTGGTCATTTGAATTAGGGACGGGGTAATATTTTGTTGCAATCATAATCTCAGAGTCTAATTAACATTAAATAATGATATCATATCACCCTCTAAGATTTGTCTATCATTGGCATGATTGGGTGATCTTTATATCAAACCCAATATTACCCGTCGTGGTGAAGTTAACTTCTACTCTAGGGTAGGACGTGTCGAGAATCGGATTGCAATGGGGTCACGTGAACATGTCAATATCCGTTGGACTCTCTTGCTTTAAGTTTGCAGATATCGTAGTCATTATAATTCGTATCAATAATTAAATACAGATGTGAGAGCCAGGTGAATTAATTCTTATCATTTCGCCTTGTGAATATATTTGAGCCGGTTGACACGGTCGGCGCTGGTTTGATCTTGTCGTGGAGCACACGGATTACTCCACTCATTTTTTACTCTGGTCACAAACGAGACGACATTACCTAGGTAAAGGTCAGCGCGGCAAACTCAGGATTCGCTTTCTAGCAAGTCGTCAGACAAAGGCCTCGGAATGGCTCTCAGGTCGGCATGGTCACGACTGAGAAACCAGTCCTCATTTGCAAAAGCGGTCACTTACAATCTTGTCGGCTTTGCAACATGGATACCGGTGCTGGCCTGGATTAATCTGTATGTGGCCGAGCTCACCATTGTGGACGGGCCTTCAATGTATCCGTTCCTGAACTCGGATAAGGACTCGACTCTGCGAAGGGACGTTGTGTTGAATTGGAAGAGAGCACCCCCGGAGACGCTCCAGAGGGGGATGATCGTTACCTTGAGGTACGTCTACTAGAGCCTGGGGTTAACGAGCGGAAGCAATGGCTAACTCAAGGCACAGGAGCCCTCTTCACCCCGAGGTAACTGCCATCAAAAGAGTTGTTGCTTTGGAGGGCGATATTATCAAGACAAAACCTCCTTATCCGGTACCAACAGTCAAGGTGCCCGCTGGACATGTTTGGGTTGAGGGAGACGGTCCTCTCGGCTCAAGTCTAGACAGCAACACGTATGGGCCGATCTCTAGGAGGCTTCTCACCGGAAGAGTGACACATATTGTGTATCCCTTTAAGAAGTTTGGGAAGATCAATTGGCGCGAACACGAGCGGCCTCTCGTGTAATAAGATCGCTCGATTGTATGTGGCGATTGTGAGCCGTACTTTTACTGGGTGGTCACTGATATCATCTTGCATTGTACTGTAATTCTGTGTATACTAGCCTTTTCCAGAGGGCATAGAGATGATAGAGATGCTCTCTTGGACGGATAGTTTTCCGTGTAATTTAGCGCAATGATCCTGTGCGATAATATGCAACTGTATTAATAAACAAATTATACCGTCAATATGCTCAACATTAGTCAATTCAATCTATCGTCGTCTGTTAGGCGTCCAAGGATTCCAAGAGTCTTAGCCCATGATTTGCGTCGATCGATTTGCCGTTGGGGCTGTACTACAGTGGGGCAGCCAACGGTACATGCGATGTGCTGCCGGTGCCCTGCAAGATCAATGTCACGACTAGCAGCTGGCATTGAATCGGCAAAAAAAATTACAGGAAATCCGGCTCGCCGACACTCCTCTATCAATTTCTTCTGAACCAACACATGCGCTCGGCGCAAAACGCTTTCACGACCTGCGTAACCCCCAGCACCTGAGCCTCGCTTGAATTCACTCTCTCCCGTTTGCGAGGTCTCTGCGGCATCTACGCCAAAGCATTCTTTTACTCTACCCCCCCTCAGGGGCCGTCCGTTCGAATTCCCCGTCCCTCGGCGATTGCGGAGCATTGGGCTGGTTGCGACGACATAAGACTTGGCCAGGAGGTCGTCATGTTGGGTTACGCCCAGACGATTTATCGGAAAGAAAGTCTGGAGAGATCATAGCGGACACCAGATTATGGGTTCTCAAGATGACGTTGAAGCCGAGGGGCGCCCGCCATATTCCCATGTCAGTTCCATTCTCCATGGTAGTTTGTTTTTCATCCCATTGACAGGTGTTGTAGGCCATGATTGCGGGTGGTATTGGAGGTTCGGTTGGTGATATGTTGATGCACTCTCTCGACACAGTAAAAACTCGGCAACAGGGCGACCCGCACGTCCCCCCCAAATACACATCGCTTGGGCAGTCATATTACACTATTTGGAGACAAGAGGGCATCCGGAGAGGCCTGTACGGCGGATGGATTCCTGCTCTTAGCGGGTCGTTTCCAGGAACTGTTCTGTTTTTCGGCACTTATGAATGGAGTAAAAGATTTCTCATCGATCATGGGCTTCAGCAGCATTTGTCATACCTTTCGGCTGGTACGGGCCCTTTCCTCTTTGGCCCTCGTGTATGAGTATCTGACTGACGATATTTCTAACTTTCTAGGTTTCCTTGGCGATCTTGCCGCTTCTATTGTTTATGTACCCTCGGAGGTGCTCAAGACTCGCCTACAACTCCAGGGCCGTTATAATAATCCCTATTTCAAATCGGGCTACAATTACCGCGGCACCATCGATGCCGCCCGTACCATCGTGCGCACAGAGGGCTCTGCCGCCCTCTTCCATGGCTACGGAGCCACCCTGTTCCGTGATCTGCCCTTCTCGGCTCTGCAGTTCATGTTCTGGGAGCAGTTCCAGACCTGGGCCCGCCGCTACAAGCAGAGCCGCGACATCGGCGTCCCTCTTGAGCTCCTTACCGGCGCATCGGCCGGAGGTCTTGCAGGTGTCATCACCTGCCCCCTGGACGTCGTGAAGACGCGCCTCCAGACGCAGGTCAACGAGCCCTCCAAGACGAACGCCCCGAGCCCGCAGAAACGGCACATCTCCACTTCCTCCCCAAGCACCCACCGCCCGAAGCCCGGGGCGATGAACCTGCAGACTTCTTCCGTCATCACCGGCCTCCGCGTCATCTACCGCACCGAAGGCCTGGCGGGCTGGTTCCGCGGCGTGGGCCCTCGAGGCGTGTGGACGTTCGTCCAGAGTGGGTGCATGCTCTTCCTGTACTCGCGCCTCCTCCGCACTCTCGACGTTTGGATGCCAGTGGAGAAGGAAGACCTGTAATACAATAAACGTTGATTATATTTGGGAGCATCACGACGCCAGCCTTTGTTTTGTATTAGGCGCCAGACGACCATATTTGTATAAATAGAAAGCGCCATGTGTATGAATGTGGGAGAAAATGATTTTATTGGGCGTTGGGGGGGATAGAAACGTGTGGAAATCTCATCATTCATACATAGACATAGACAATAGATTATGACATTTTTGTCTCACTCAATCTGCATTGATCAATGGGTGTTCCAGATAAAAATAGCCAAAAGCTTGACCTACAAACGTTCCCTCCATTTACTCAAGTCACAAGATTAGCGATATGCGTTGGGAGAATTCAAAAAGCAAAGTGGTAGGTAATATTTGATCAACTAATCTAACAGACCTCCATCATCATAATAGCTCATGCGGTAAGAACAATGCGTTGAAAGGACTTAATGCTGCGTGAATGTGAATATTGAAAAATGCTAATAGACGTGACGGCGTTTTCATTTCGTTGCAACTATGTTCAAGGATCACCCATTCATCCAACCGAAAAAAGCTTAAGCATCCGGGTCAACTTCTTCCTCTGCAGGAAGCGGCGAAAATTCTTCAAGGCGTGTCATTAACTCATCCCGTGCGGCACAAATGGGCACGGCCAGGGTCAGTGCGTTCCAGACGCTCTGGTTTTTGTCAAAAAAGTCAACGTGAACCTGGAAGCTGACAATACCAGCGTCTCCTTTTGAGGAGTCCAGAGTAAGTACGAACACGTTGGTTCCCAAAATGTATAGGCCATATACAACTGGGGGCTTTCGGCGGAATTCTAGATTGGCGGGAGTTCGTGGCGGTGTAGTTGTGGACTTGGGTGCAACCCTGTAAGGGGTAGAAAGATCCCCAAACCCATCGACCTCGGTCAGCTCATCGTCACTAGAGCATGGGCTGGCGATTTGCCGTCGTTTTTGAGACCGGTATTCAGTATCGTGTACTGTTGCAGGAGAGTCCGGCGACATTATGGTCGTGTCATCATCAACCAGATCGGGCGTGGACCGTGTTGATTCAAGGCTTCTCTTCATTCCCGCTCTGATACGACCCGTCAGTGACTTGTTGTTTTGCCTCTTTGGTCTCATTAATCGTGGTTCAGTCGAGGTCCAGAAGTCATCACTTCGATCGACTCGTAGATGTTCTCGCTGCAGCATGGCCAGCGCTCTTATGCGGGCAGTCATGTAGGCAACCACACGCGCCTCCTCCTCAGGCGCCTCGACGACTTCGGCGATAATGTTGGGGATAATCTTAAGCTTGTCATAGGACCCATCTCGTGCTGCCCAGCCAAGGGTTTTATCCAGCCTTGCTTTGATGAGCTTTGCCACTCTTCGGCGGGCTGTCCGCTGGTTTGTGGGTGAGAGTAGGTTTTCTGATTCAATCAGCGTCCTGACGGCGAGCGTCAGGTCAATCAACTGCGACAGAACATGTGTTGCTACATGGCGGTCAGTAACGTCGAAGTGAGAAAACAGGTGCCATGGCCTTAGGAAGGCAGGGGATTCATACCAGCAAATTGGCCTGACATGGTTTTCGAGTGCGAGTAGATGGCGGGCGGATAGTCTTTGGAGGTCTGAAAAATATGGTCGGTGAGAGGGAATCCACGTAGGTCAATACTCCAATGCGGCGGGAGTATCGGGATATCTTGACGAAGGTAGAATATCTCGAACAGCCGCTCCTCCTCCTTCGCCCACTCCTTTGCGCCGGGGAATTTCTGTTTGTCTTGTTCCATTCTGTCTGACAGCGACATCTCAGGTTCTTCTGTGGCCTCATTTGCTTCCTCAGAATTCTCAGCTTCAGAATCGGAGGCTTGCTTTGCCGGTTTGTCTGCGTTGGATTTGGCCAATTCGTTTCTCTTGGTGGCGGACTCCTCCATTTTGAACATGCTCCGAATGGATTCAGCCCATTGGATCAGGCTCTTTGTTGATAGAGCCATTGTCAAGAGATTGTCTGTCCACAGACAAATCCTAGAATTTTGTCTTTGTTGAACGAAGACACATGAAACACCTACAGGAGGACGCTTAAAGCCCAGGCAAAAGCAGGTGCCAAATGACGGTCAAGGATCTGACTGCTTTGTGAGTCAAGATGGAGGCTCTGCAGCTGCTATCTGCAGCTACGGAGCCTGGTGATGATTGACCAGAGGTTGAGTCACAAGGCACAAGAGCAAAAAGTGAGGCTACGAGGAAGTGAGAGGAGGTGTGGGAAGAAAACGCTTGCCTTGTTATTGCTACCACAAACGGTAAGTACCTGGGAGTTCCTATTCACACCCAACGACACGATCATGCATGAGCACTGAAGCCCAGTAATAAACCCGGTTGTCAGTGACAACTGCAGGTACCTAAAAGTGGGGAGGTTGGTTGTCAGAAAGTGCAGGCAAACAGGCAAACAGGGTTCAGAGTCTTGGTGCGGTTCGGCTCCGGAACAAGTGAGACCCCGCTTCGCCCAATCAGCGCCCCCTGCTATCATTGAATTTCTTCATGCTGAGAACTTGCGATCTTGAATGTACGATCAGAGGTATCTTCCAACGGCGACCACAAAGAACCATGGCCGAGGCAGTGAGTGTCGCAGCGAAGCAGCTGCCAAAATTCAAGCTCGGCAAGAAACAAGTATTTCTGTATGTGTTCACTAGCTCTCCAAGCCAGCAGCTCTTCAATTGCCCCCATCTTATCGCACATTCTAATTGTAGATCCTAGGCCCAACCATGTAATCACTTTTTTACGAAAAGACCACCTTCCGCCAAACGAAGCCTGCTTCCACGTTCCTCTCACATTCACCAAATTTGACCTGCGCGACTACCTATGGAATCTATACAATGTCGAGGTCACCAAGGTTCGCTCCTATGTTAAGGAGTTGCCTCTCACACAAAAGCCCGGCACACGCCTGTGGTACCGCCCACGAGCGCAGAAGATCATGACAGTCCAGCTTGCCAAGCCATTCCAATGGCCTGAGGTCCCCACCAACACAGAGGCCTGGAGCAAGGACATGTTCGACCTGCGGGAGGAGAAATACGAGGAGAACAACAAGGCACAGACCGAGAAGCAGAAGATGCAGCTCCCAATGAAGAGCAGACAACCCATCACCCATGAAAGGAAGGAATTGTCAAAGCTGGCTAAACAAATGTTGTCGGGCAACGTGAAGTGGTCTAACGATGTCATCTTGGATCCAAAGTGGGACAGTATTCTGGAGCAGGCTACGCAACAGAAGCAGACAAAGGAGGAGTCAAAGGAGACAGAGCCACAAGAGCAAAAGAAGCCTTAGGGCTTGGAGGGGAGCATATACAAAGAGAAGGATATGTCCAGGAGGCAACCTACTAAGTTGTCGTGGGAGAAGATGATGAAAATGTCCCACTTGTAATATATCATCAAATTGTACATGTATAACTACTGTACCAAGCATTCAGAGCATTTACTGAAAAAGTCGGGACAATAAGAGAATTGCACCTCGGACAAAGGTACGCATGATGTTACTTTTGATCAACCCAGTGGTGCGCTTCCTGAAACTGTAAAACCTCGTTCCCCCAACTCCACCAGCCAGCTGTCAAATTACGTGCAAACACTTCTAACGCATCGTAGCCAGGTTCTAGCAGCGCATCAAACAGTCCACGCAGGTTCGGTTTCCTCGAATGCACATCTGGGACTGCCAAGATAGTTTTAGATCGAAGCCCTTGAGGAGTTGGGGTCCCAGTACGCTTGGCAATCAGGAGTTTCTCCCATGGTTTCCTCCAAGAAGACTCAACGTCAAAGATAGGCTCTCCCGACGCAGTGACCTTGACCCACGTCCATTCAGTTACCAGCTCAAGGCCCCACTGGGCGAAGAGTCCTGAAGGCGAGGAAAGAAGGTCAATTATGCTAGGCTTGTTAGTTATCCATATGGCAACGAGGCCATCCGTGAATAAGTGGGAGGCAATTGGTATATGTGATAATAGCTGGCCCATTTCATCCATATTATAAGCCGTGCTGTAGCCAGCAGTTTTACGTCGAACGGAGCGGTTTGGCCAGGGCGGGTCAAGAATAACCAATCTAAATTTGGGCGCAGATTCCCTACATTGCGAGCTCAACTCCTGCATTGATCCGTGTAAATAGGTGGCATTCTCGGGGATGAAGGGGGCTGATGGGGAATTGGGCGCATTCTCCTGGTCAGTGATCCGCGGAAGGCAATAGGATTCATGAAATGAAGAATGGGTGTGTTCCAAAGCATCCTGTATAGTCGCCGTGGTCATGAGGTCGGCAATTTGTGCCGCGGCACTCTTGTTCTGGCTTGCATATCCATTGTCTTTAGGTTCAGGTGTTTCAAAGGGCTGTGCAATTGGCTCAACTGAACGAATGCGTCTGGTGACAATGGTCTCGTGACCAGAGGGCAGCTGGCACTCTTCCAGCGTGCGTGGGATATCAAGGATGATGATACCCTTGTCCGGGCTGCTGTACCGAATAGAAGTCGGACGGCTACTAAGATTTCGGCTGTCCATCGGTTCCCGAGGGCCCAGAAAGCACCACAAATCTCGGTTCCGATCGAAAAAGGCGAGTCATTGGGAGAAGGTCGCATCAGGAATCAATCGCATGCCAAGTGCTATATCCGATGGCTGACTAAGCCCTCTACGACAAAGAATCGCGGCTATATACTTCACGGCTATGAAGACCTCTATGGTAATGTGCAACATACCACTTTGGCGCAGCAAATCTCATACTCGAGGTTGATTCTCAAGATGCCTGAAATTCTCATGATCCCGGTATCCCAAAATTGAACGCCGCACGCAGATAATGAGGGTTTCCTGCGGAATCGCAAGGCTTAAGATCTAGACTCGGCAAACCTCGGTTAGTGAGGGCCTCTCCACACCCTGTCCCTTGGGCCATGGGATGTGGGCCTAGAACAGTGAACACCACCACTAAAAAGCCTTGGGGATTAATCAGTTGCCCGCATGACGTTCTGTAGGAGCTGAAACCCCCAAGTTTTCTTGCGTCCGGAGATCAACTTTGGCTGCACCCCGCAAACCCTACCTACGCAGTCTCACTGGGGCTTCCGTTCTTTTTCCCGTTGCCTCCGGACCATCGTCCTTTGTTTCCTGCGCCCTCATCCCCCGTTCCCAAGCACTCCTTGCTTGGAGCGCTACGACTAGACAGACATCTTCCTCAACCTCCACTACCAATTTGTCTACGATTACCAGTTTTCGCAGCGAGTTTTCCTCATTTCAAAGGCTACCTAGACCGCGCCCACGTGCCGGCAACCCTCTTGTCCTCATGAGCCATGCTGCATCTATCGCAGAGGTGAACCCTGCGGACGCCCCAAGGCATCACGCGAGTACGACCGCGAGCAAAAAGAATGCGCAGATTATACAGCATGCCGACGGCCATGGCGCAACCGACGCCGCAATCCGCAAGCAGACGAGAAGCTTGGATTATATATGGCGATCGGGAGTAGCGGGAGGCCTCGCAGGCTGTGCGGTACGTTGATAGAGCTGGCGATTTCATGGCATCATACTGATCTGGTTTTCCTTAGGCCAAAACCCTCGTCGCGCCCCTCGATCGGGTAAAGATTCTCTTCCAGGCGAGCAATCCTCAGTTCGCGAAATACACGGGTTCCTGGTTCGGCGTGGCCACGGCTATGAAAGACATCTACCACCAGGATGGATCCCGAGGTCTCTTCCGAGGCCACTCAGCGACTCTCCTTCGCATATTCCCATACGCCGCCATCAAATTTCTGGCGTACGAACAAATTCGGTCTATCATCATCCCGAGCCACAAGCATGAAACGTCCCTAAGAAGACTGCTAAGTGGAAGTCTTGCCGGAGTCACCTCTGTCTTCTTCACATATCCTCTAGAAGTTATTAGAGTCCGATTGGCTTTCGAGACGAAGCAGAATAGCCGGTCATCCCTGTCTTCCATATGTCGAGATATATACAACGAGCAGCCCGTTCATAAAGGCGCAGCGGCAAGACTACCCCACGCCCCAGAGCCAATTGCCGCTGCTGCCGAGAAACTCCAAGCCGTAACCCCCAGGGTTGGCATCATCAACTTTTACCGCGGATTCTTGCCTACTCTTTTGGGTATGCTTCCATATGCTGGCATATCCTTCCTCACACACGATACGGTCAGCGACATGCTGCGATCCCCATCGCTAGCCCAGTACACCACTCTGCCGAAGAAGTTGACACACCCGACCAACAAGCCAGCACCCCTTCGCTCGTGGGCTGAACTGACAGCAGGAGGCATTGCTGGTCTTCTGTCCCAGACAGCCTCTTATCCGCTAGAGGTCATTCGACGACGCATGCAAGTGAGCGGTGCAGTCGGCGATGGACGGCGCCTCAGAATCTCTGAAACGGCCGCCATGATTATGCGGGAAAGAGGCTTCCAGGGATTCTTTGTGGGATTGACAATTGGCTATGTCAAGGTTATCCCAATGACAGCTGTCGCGTTCTTCACGTACGAAAGAATGAAGCTGGCTCTTGGTATCTAGAACTACAGGCAAATAAAAGGAGTTTTGGCGTGGTTGCATTGGAAGGTTTATGGCATGGCATTTGTCTTTTTTTTTTTTCTTTTTTTTTTTCTTTTTGGATATGGTTCAGCATAGAAGGGTTCACATGTGTATTAGAGTATTCCATATCGTTATGATTGGGCTGGGTTGTACATGTATACCAACTGGTACGCCAGTGCGTATGCGATGGAGGCGTTCTGAGGGCTGTCGATGCCCATGTATTCCTTTTGTCGAACAAGGCACTCTGTTCTGTGAAAAGGATTCTTGTTCATATTTTTAGGTATGCAACCGTCAACCGAAGCATATCAATATACTTTATACTTGTACTTCTAATTATGCTTCGAGGCTGGGATCGTGTGCTCGAAGCCACCAATGTCATCATAGCGCCAACACACCACAGCTTGAATTGTCGGCCTCATATCGACCTCTGCAGCCCAGAAGAAGCAAAGGCGCTCACAGATCCCGTGCGGTTTTCTTGCTATACTTCACTTTCAAAACCTAATTATTTCTATCATCAACAACTGATGTACGCTTAGCTTGATGAAGCCCTAGTCACTTTTCAAATTACACATTGAGCATGAACTGAAGCGTCAATTAGTACAAAGGCCGTACTAGATAATTTCTTTTCCCCGAACTTCTTATAATCTAACATACGCATTTTTATCATCTTATGGTTTTCATAATTTTTTATCAACAACTGAGCGAGTGGTATAAGAGATTGTCAGACCAAGCCTCATGCTTCAGTAAGAGTAAGAAACCCAGTATAATTAGAATTTTGCTATTATGGTCATAACATTGAGAAAATTAATTATTAACTTATAAATTGTTTTATTATCCCAATTGCTTATATGTGCCATTTACTCGAAGGCCACTCTCTTGCCAACGTCACAGAGCCGAGCTCTATCAGGCACACTTACCAGGGGAGCGTGTCCGCTGATTGGCCAGCCCAGCCACCCTAGTAGATCCAGTTGCCTGCAGCAGCTCGAAAGCTTCCATCCTAAAAAAACGACCTCTGACCATCACAACTCGACTCGACCCAGCCTGACTCTCTATCCCGTACAGAGACACGCGCGCTCGCTGGCAGGCGCTCATCTCATAAACTTCGAAGACCCTCTTTCCCGTCCACATTCAACCCACAGAATACAAAGGTGTTCACCATGGCCGACTACGACCCGCTCGTGCTGCTGCGACAGTCCATCTCGGGCAACAAACCCTTTGTCCCAAGCGCGTCCACCGACCCAGCTTCCCCCGAAGTCGAGCTTGCTCAAGCGACACATCTGGCATTCCCCGAGCAAGGTGTAGCTCTACCCTTCTCTACATCAACGCGCTTCGCCTCCAATGACCAGTCGGTGGATCTGCGCAGTATCTACTTCGCGTGGCTAAACCGCGAACGCGCTATCCCCGAGTACAATGCTGCCGCAACAGCTTTAAATGATAGCCTCGGTGCTGGTGGCAAGGTCCAAAACCTGGGTTTCATCGAGCGACTCGATCTGATCACATGGCTAGAGGGGGCTAGCGAAGAAAGTGAATACATCAAGCCTTTGGCAGGGGACAAGGACGGATCAGCTGTGGCCGGAGGTGGTGCCGCCGCTGCCTCCAAGACTGGCGCTCAGTCTTCAGCTACCCAGGCGCGGTCAGGAAAAGGGACATTGGATCCCAAGCTCGCGAGTGTCTACAATGGTGAGCGACGGATGGGAGATCGCAACACCGTGCTCAGAGGCATTAAACCAACCGTAAGTTGAAACAGAGCATCTACCTATCATAAATATCTTTTCGCGCATGGGGTCGCCATGTTCTGACTTTGATTTATCGAAACTAGGACTTCTCTCATGTTCGGAAACTCGCGGCGCCATTCCTCGCCAAGAAGGCCCCGTCTGCTCATATTAACAATACACAGAGCATAGCACTTAATCAAAAGACGCCGTCTAGAAGACCGAATCCCATTATTTTGCTGTCACCCTCTGCCTCGGCCCTCATTCGTCTATCCAATGCCCGTTCTTTCCTGATGGAGGGCAAGTTTTCTCCACCAGACACTGGTTCCTCCAACAGCAACATGCTACAGATCGAACGCAGTATACCTAGCGTTGACCCAGCACGCCTCACGCGCTTCATCCTGGTAGAGGGTCCAGAACAATTCAAGCCCGAGTACTGGAACCGCGTTGTGGCTGTCTTCACAACCGGTCAGACATGGCAGTTCAAGAACTACAAATGGAGCAACCCCAACGAGCTGTTCAAGCATACGCTGGGCATCTATGTCGGCTGGCGTGACGACCAGCCCCCTGATAACGTCCGGGGCTGGGGCCACCGCGTAGTGTCTACAGGCGTCGACCGATGGAGGGGCGAGGGCCATGAGGACACCCGCTTTAGGGACAAGGAGGTCGTGGAGCAGATTTGGAAGTCAATTGAGCTCAACATGTCTCAAAAGGGGTGGAGGAAAGATGCCGCCCCAAGCTCCATCTAGCTGCATGCCATCTAGCGAAGCCAGCCGTGTAAAGCCTTGGTCTAGAGTGAACACCAAGGCTTGCGGATGCGAAAATCTGGTTGATGGAACTTCCTACTTGTTCTATACATGATGACCACTTTTTTTGAGTGGAATTTCCTATCTGGAAACCAAAGCGAAGGCGTTTCATGGGTTTATCTGTTTTGTTTCGTTGGACTTGGCTTAGTGTAATTGGACGATCCTACAGGGAGAAAACGCGAGGGCGAGAGCGAACCCGAGGGAGAGAGGAAACAAGGAAAAATTTTACTCGTTCGTCATTCCGTGGACAATGCGAAATGGCAACTTGTGGTGGTCTAGCCTGCTCGTGTGACGGGGTCAAGCATGCGCTGACAGCAGGCGGCTCTTTCCACAAAACCATGTGTCATCTATATCTGTATTATGTATATCAGCGGTTTCTGGAACAACATAGCGTGGCCAAGCAATCCAATATTATGCTCTGTTGGGAAGGGGTAGTGCAAGAAAATCCAGGCTGCCGTGCGTCCGGGACGGGAGAGTCAGGACACCAGCTGGCAGGTATATTAATACATCATCATCCCATGGAACCGGACTGAAACGGCGTGGAGCAAGGCGCTGCGACGCGACCCAAGGGCTTGGATACTCTGTATCATGCTGTTCTAAATGAGCCACTTTTTCGTTATTTCAGCGCAATTGCATATTCCGGCGCTGTCTCGTTTCACATCCTCTGGCTGGTTCCCAATCCAGCAAAAGAGCCCAATGAGGCTGAATGTTGGGGGCCAAGATCCCTGACCGGGGGGTCCAGTACAAATGTAGGTACAATCCGGCGCGGGTTCCAGTCCCACGACTCTACCTGGCTTCCCACACAGTGGAGAGATTCCCCATCGAGGCGAAGAGGACCAGCGAAAATCGCGGGAACTGGTCCCGGGGGTGGGCTTAGAAGAAGAGATTGATTGACATTTGTCCGCCACGCGCTCGGGCTAGAAAACGGAAGGATTCCTTCTGGAAGGGTTTTTTTCTAATTTTACTGGGTCCTTCTTGCAATATCCTCTCATGATGGTCTCGGAGATGCCTGGCGCTTGGTCACGGAACTAGTGCCAGGAAATCAAACGGTGTTTCGGCACTTGATCCCCTTGGGAGAATGCGCGAACCCGAGTGGGCACACATGACAGTAATATGGGATGAGGTCAGATCATGGACAGGATCACTGACTGGTCGTCTGAAACGGGGCTGGCCCCGCCTTAGAGACAACGTGAATGCAATTTACCTTCAGGGCTCCTGTAGGTAGTATTGTATTAGGTACTCTGCATGAAATCCTCATATGAGCTGTGACCAGGGGCATTTCGGTAGGTGTCAAAGTGCGCCGAGGGCTCAATCATCCCAATACGAGTGTTGAAACACCGTCCACTTGATCTGCAACGAGACCAAGAATAGGTCCGCAGGCCCGGCGCTGTCTCCGTCCATGTTTTGGGAGTGTTTGACATTACTGAAGCAATTCTTTTGGTGAATTGCGATTGGGACGGATCCCCTCTAGGAGTAGCACTGCACTATAGTATACAACACACGTATGTCAGAGTGACGGGATCAGCGGGCGTTCGCCCCTCCCTCCATATCATAGGCTGCCTCAATCAGAGCTCCCGGAAAGTCAATCAACTATCACAAGGATCAGGGTACAGCTCTGCCTCATCATGCCGGCCTCACGCCAGATTAACTTGCTCTATCGGTAACGTGGCCATGCACCGGCAGGGCAGGGCGGGTTTTGGATAATGCAGCAGACATGTGCGCTGCCGGAACCGCCAGTTCACCAACCTGGGCCACGGCGGGTCTCGTCTCTTGGCCTTTCACGCGGCCTCGCTTTTTTGCAGGACATATGCCTCTGCACTGGTCCCTCCCTCATCAAGCCGGTATGTACCTACCTAGGTATCATACACCGTCCTCTCGAACCCCCTAGGGCCCTTCGGGAGGGGTAGGCTCGTAGAGTACAACGGGACAAGAGGGAGGGAGAGGGCGAATGGAAAGGCCGCCCATCTCCACTTCCACTGGCACGGAAAGTCTGTGAGCGCACGAGGAAATAACGCGCGGTGGAGATTTCTGCAGAGAGATGTGCCCGCGATGAACCCTTCTCGAGGTGGGAAAGCCGGCGGAAGCCAAGCGGGCACCTCTCCATCCTCGCCTCGCTGTTGGTCTGGTCTGGTTTGGCAGGAAAGGCGGCGAGCAGGCAGCGAAGCGCAACAGGTGGGCGCCTCAAGCTCAAGGTTTTTTTGTTCCCGCGTCGAGAGCCTTCCGTGGCCACCGGCATGACTGCATTCCATTGATGTCGTTGCATTTCTTGCCATGCAACCATGTTCGCTCCAGCGGCATGGATTAGGGCTCTCGGCCTCACAGAGAAGGTGCAGCACCAATGCCGAGAGGTTGCGTTATACCCCACGAGCCCATCCAATATCTTTCCGGATCAAGGACGGGTTAGCTGTCAATATTGGTTGCGTGCCGTGTCAATCGACGATATAATACAGCTTGTATTATTAGCTCTAGGCTGAATCCGGATGGCATGATCAACGAGGTGATGCCTCACTGGTGGTGATGTCCCCCCGCCATTTCCCCTCCCACATGGCTGCAAGATGTGCGTCTCCTCCGACGATGCAATCATCGGCTGAGTTACGTGCACATTTTCCTGCCGGCAGACGGGGTCGCGTTGGCATATGGACTGTTCCTCATTTGCAATTGAGTAATTTCAGTTGCATCGCATTGCACCGCGTTGCACCGAGGCCGTGCGAGGGGGAGGGGGAGATGCATGGGAAGATACTTAGGGTAGAAGCATAGACCATCTGCAACGCTCTTCTGCGGCCTCTCAACGGCTAAGCACACCGATGTTCCCCCCCTCCAAGCCTGTGTTACATGATAAAGATAGGACATCATCATTGGGCGTGGAGGGACACGGCAGACGGGCTCCAGGAGCCCCCCGAGAAAGGCGACAGTCGCTTCCCTCGGATGGCTGGACGTTGGGACGTCGACCGAAGCCTATGTCCGTAGGGTGTGCTCCAGGCAGGATGTGGGGAGGGAGCGGTGATGAGAAATCAAGCAGCGGGCGTGACTAACATGCATGTATGTAGGTACGAGCACACAGATAGGCAGATGGGTGCTGATCCCCAGATGTGAAGGTGTCCTCCCTGTCTGGCAGACACGCTATGCCATGCGACGATGCCATGCTATCATGGGCAACGAGCTGCTGCAGACCGACTAACTCGGATCATAGCTTCAGGCTCCTACACCAATTAACGGTCGAGGTTGCGATTGAGTGGACCGCTCTTTGAACACAAGAGCCTGGGCCATTGTCACCAATCACATGTATCAACCCGGGCTAGGTCGTGAGACGGCAGCGATCTATGCTGTCAGGGTTACAGACCGACCACGGAGCTAGGCCGGGACGGTTTTGACGCCGGAGCAGCGACCTTGTTGTATGGCCTCCACGTGCGTGTCTGGGAGTCGTGATAGTCTGATCGATGCAGCAACCCCCCACCGAAACGAAAGAAGAACAAGGAACCCAGCCCCTCCCCTTCCGTACGTTACTGCCTCCCCCCCATCCATTTCGCTTCCTGGTCCAGGCAAACCGGTCACCTCGCTTGGATGCACAAGGTCCACCAAACTAGCTAAGAGGCCACCTTGGGCTCGACTAGTCCGGGTCCCCAATTGAATAGCTCGCGAGCGGATGACACATTTGCTCTCTGGCAAGGCCAAGCCAGATCACAGATGGGCTCAGGAACCAACGGAAGCGGGCCAAGGGCGCAACCTGCAGCTCAACGTCCGAGACGCCTGGGCCATGCGCTGGGTGTGGGATCATGGGTTATGAGGATATGCGGGCACATACACAGAGCCCCCCCCGTCCCTTCTCCCCCCCCGTCATAGACGTCTGTCTAGCATTCCATTTGGTCCAAGCACAGAGAAGAAACCCACTAAAGTAAATGGCGGGCCGGATTATATGATCCCTACAACCGCATGTTAATGGCTTCTACTAAGCATCTCTATCTGACCCCTTCTCCCTCCTTACGTACATAACACATATAGCAGACATGCTTGTAGTGAGGGGTCCCTCTGCCCGCTCGATTGCCCCCTGTTCCTGGACAGGTTTGTCACGGCCCTGGCCTTATCTGGGCCATCCAGAGGAAACAAGCTTAGGACCAGGTAGGTAATCAAGTAGTGCCAGCCAGTCCAAGACAGACCGACTTTGATACGAGCAAACGAGGGCAGCCATAGCTCGCGCCACAAGGGCACCAGAGCACAAGTCGTCGTCTTTCTAGCCCCAGTGCCGAAAGGGTGTGCTGTCTCCCCAATGCCCTTGCTGCTGGTTCCTGTCACTTTTGCGGGACTTGCAAAGAACAGGTTGCTCCAAATTTGGGGAGGGGGTTTGCCAAAACGGAGCCAGGACCGCGTGGTAAGGCGCACCTTAACGTAGGCTTAGGCAAGCCTTCGGCAATGGTGCCCTACCGAGATGACTGGTTCGCTGGAGCGTTTGAGCGGTGGATCCCGCTGGGGAGACCAGCTTGCACATGGCAAAGTACTCTGTACTCTCCTACACCCCTGGCATCTCTGTGGCCGCTCTGCGCTTCGGGCAATATTGTGTAGGTACCTAAACCTGCCGACCGGCTCTGCCTGGGGCCTTGAGGGCGAGCACTGTCTGAACGGCGGTATGTATGCTCTTACCTGGTATTGCTTGTAAACGCATGTTGTGTGTCCAGGACCGCTGACTGCAACCATCTGAATGCACACACATGCATTCTGATGGGGTTCTGGGCAAGGACAAGGGTCTCTCCCACCACAAGTCTGAGATTTTTTTCGGCAGTCCGCACTGGCACACCCGTGCCACGTTAATGTCGCTCATCACGGGACAAAGGCACATGGTGGAGCATCTAGTGTGATAAAAAAGAGGGGAGAGGGGAGGAGAGGAAGGTGAAGGTTACGGAGAGCTACCAAGGTGGTTTTAGCATGAGGGGGATGAAATGGCGGTATAG